GAACTCCTGAGCTCAAGCAATCTGCCTGCCTCAGTCTCCCAAAGTGTTGAGATTACAGGCATGAGCCACCGCATCCAGCCAGAGATTGCCCTCTTTGCCAAAAACCCAGGGTGGCCTCGGAAGTTCAGGACACTCAGTGCCCCAAGCATCCCTTCATTCTCGTCCCTGGGGCTCTGGAGGCTCCCTTCATTCCCCAGCAGGGACAGGAAATAAGTTCATCTTCCTTGAAACCCTGCCTCATCTCCATCAGGCCCTCATCTCCGTTTGCACAGGCAAATGGAAGCAGAGTCCTGAGCATGTGTCCCCCCCGCTCCAACCCCTGTCCCCACCCCGCCATGGCCTCACCAGGTTGCCTCAGACTCTGGGGCTACAATGTTTTGTGCCTTGTTCTGGGAAAGCAAGAGTACATAACACAGTTCTCAGGCCAAGCAGCAGGCAGGCAGGACAAGGCACCCCCTGCCGAGCCTCCCTGCCCCAAAGCAACGCCCCCCGCCCCCCACCCCACCTCCAGCCTCCCCCAGCCTCTACCTTCGAGGCATTGCTCGCTGGGATTGTGTCTGGCAGATGGAACGCTGTCCTCTCCTCCTCCCTGTGGACCCGCTCCCTCGGGGCCCCCTCCTCTCCTTTCTGCTTGGGTGGGACTCCCCAGGCTGTGTTGGAGAAGGCTGAGGAACAGGAGCTGGCCCCCCTGCTTCCCACCCCTTGAGGGAGACTGGGGTCACCCTTCTGTGCCCTGCCATCTGGAGACGCGGGGGAGCAGCTGTCCCCTGACCCCAGGGGGTGGGCGGGAGGGAGCCCCTGCTCGGGATTAAGGGAATCCCCAATCAGTGTCCCCAGAGTGGTCTCAGGTGACATTAGCTTGCTTTGTGCCCAAGAGTCTGAGAGACTAGCCGGGGTCTTCAAGAAAGCTGCAGTTTCCCTTTGGCCTCGAAGGCATCTCCGCCTCTCATCCCAGGAAGCAAGGAGAGGCTGGTGGGCGGAGAGTGGCTGACCACCGCTGGTCCAGAGGTCCTGCTGCACAGCACGGGGGGGTTCCTGGGGTGCCTGGCACCTGAGTCTGGCTGCCTCCTGCGCCAGGCAACGTACAGAGGCCAGCAGCTGCTGGATGGCAGCATGGGATGGGGCCCGAGTCTGGTTCTGACTGGGGATAGCCAGGTCCTCCAGGGTGAGAGGCTCCCCCACCAGCCTGGACCTCCAGCTCCCCAGGCCACCCCAGAATCTGAGGCCTGGCCGTGTGTGCCCATCAAGAGGGGCAAAGGCTTCGGTGGGCCTGAAGTCCCCGCTAGGGGTGCCTGGGGCCGGCAGCCTGGACTGCCTCAGACAGGGAGATGGGCGAGCCAGTGGCTCCTGGGATAGGAGACGACCCCAGGGCAGCTTGTGGGGCCCAAAGCTCCCCCCAGGCTCTGGGCAGAGGTGGGGGCTGCTGGTCTCCCTGCTGCTCAGGTTGCTCTGCTGAATGGCAAACTCTCGAGCCTTCCCTTGGCACCTCCGGGCTGGAGGCTGCAGGTTGCTCTGTTGCCAGACGCTTGAATTTACCAGTCGGCCAGTCGTGTCCTTCAGGGCTAGGCCCAGGCGGGGACCAGGGCTGGCCAGGTTGGTCTGGACTCGGCAGGGCTCCTGGTCTAGCACCGCCCCTGGGGAGGGTGTGGCAGCACGCTCTCCCCTCTCCACCTGGCACCCGGGCACCCACTGGTCATGTCTACTGCTCAGGCTGATGCCCAGGCTCCTCCGGAATCTTCGTTGCTCTAAAGAGAGGAGAGACAGTCATGCCTTGGGGGAGGACTTGGGTGGCCGGCACTCAGGTGGGACAGGTGGAGCTGTCCAGGCCTCAGAGCCAGGGAGGGGACGGGGCCCTAGCAGCGGGAGGGAGCTAAGACTTCCGGGGTCTGCTGCCAGCTCTGTCTCCCTGGGTGAAGCGATGGGCAGTCCCTGGGGCTCTTGGAGTGGGGGGTTCTTGGAGCTGGACAGAGGGAAGCAGAGAGATATTTAGGAGGTAGTTGAGGGGGTCCCAGGAGAGAGATGATGGTGGCTGGGATCGGGGGTAGCAGGTGGGTAAAGAGAAGATTCAGACAAGCTTCAGAGGTGCGGCCAGCAGGCTTGGGGGAGTCAGGTAAAGGGGAAAAAAGGAAGAATCAAGGGGGACTCCTTGATTTCTGGCTTGAGCAAAGAGGTGGTGGGGGCAGTGGTCTGGGGTGAAAGCAAGACCCCATAGAGCAGCGGGTAAAGGTGAGCTGCTCTGGGAACACGGAGAAGGGCCTTGGAGGCCCTCCCCAGCCCCTAAGCCCACTCCACAGGCACAGAGTCCTCGTGGGGATGGATGAGGTCCCGGGAGGCTCTGGGCGCGGGGCCTGGCAGGCAGAGTGGGTCATAAAAGTTGCTGCCTTTGTGGATGGGAACTAAAGCTCAGAGAGGTCAAGCAACTTGCCTCATGGTCACACAGCTGGAACACGAAGAAACTGGGATGTGAATTCAAGAATCCACATTTGTTCTTGGGCTGCTCCCCTTCTTGGCTGGCCCAGCTGTGTGGCTTCCTTTTTTTTTGAGAGGGAGTCTTGCTCTGTCGCCCAGTACAACCTCCGCCTCCCGGGTTCAAGTGATTCTCCCACCTCAGCCTCCCAAGTAGCTGGGATTACAGGCACCCACCATCATGCCCGGCTAACTTTTGTATTTTTGTAGAGACGGGGTTTCACCATGTTGGCCAGGCTAGTCTTGAACCCTTGACCTCAGGTGATCCACCCGCCTCGGCCTCCCAAAGTTCTGGGATTACAGGCATGAGCCACCACTCTCGGCTCTCTGTGACTTTCTTAAAGCCTCAGCAGCCTGAGCAGGGATGTCCCCAGCCCACCGCCCCTGGTACTGGCTGACCTGTGGAGGCCCCATCTTAGCCAGGGGCACCAACTAGGCCTACTCCTGGTCCCCTCTCTTCCTGACCTTACTTTCCCAAGACCCCTGCTCCTTAGGCCCCAGGCTGAGAAAACTGTTCTATGTGCCGCCGACCATGGTGGCTGATCTGTGGAATTAGCCAGGCCCTATAGGCTGGCCTGCCTGGGAGGGGGGTTCTGGGCCGATACCGAGACGGGCCCTGCTCCTGTAACCTCCCATCCAGGCCCTCTAAGCCTCTTGCCTGGCTTCAGGAGCACTGCAGGCTTTGGGGACACATTCTCCTTGTGGCTGGCATCAGACCTTAGCTCCATGGGCTCAGGGACAGGGGTGTCCTTGGTCCACCCCACAGTGAGTGGCCTGGTCTGTTTAATAAGATGGGCCCTGCGGGGAGAGGACAGGTTGCCCTGGCTCTCATTCAACCCCACCCCATTCTGATCCCTACCCCTTCCCTTTAACAGTACTCCTGGCTGCTCTTGGCCTGGTCCCAGCTGCCTGGGGCGCTTGCCCCTCACTGTTCTGGTCTCTCAGGGGCTCCTCTCCCTGCCCTACTTATCACCCCTCTTTCCATGGTAAGTGTCCAGGTCAAATGCTGCCCCATCCTGCCACCTAGACCTCTCGGCTGATCTGCACACAGATCTCACCATGCAGGTCCAGCGACCTCCTCCACGCCTACCCAGATGTCTAACAGGCATCTTGTGAGGTGAGCGGCCCTCACCTGCCACCTCCCAACTGGTCACCCTTATTCTGCCCTCGTCCTCACACCCGACAGCCTCCTCTTCATGCAGTGGCAGGGTGGTCCTGTGAACACTGAAATCAGATCATGCCCTGCCTCAACTCTAATGCCACAGAGGCTCTCCAGCCCACTCAATGCCCCTGCGAGCCTGCAAGGCTGTAGGCGAGGGGTTAGCAATTACTGCCTGGGCTAGTGGTCCGTTATGTGAATAAAGTTATATTGGAACAAAGCCCATTTGTTTACAGACTGTCTGCTTTCCAGCTGCAATGGCTCAATAGCTGCAAGATACCTTAGGCTGCAAACCTTTTTTTTTTTTTTGAGACAGAGTCTCACTTTGTCGCCCAGACTGGTACAATGGCGTGATCCCGGCTCACTGCAACCTCTGCCTGACTCCCTGGGTTCAAGGGATCCTCCCGCCTCAGCCTCTAAGAAGCTGGAACCACAGGCGCATGCCACCATGCCTAATTTTTGTATTTTTTGGTAGAGATAGGGTTTCGCCATGATGGCCCGGCTGATCTCAAACTCCTGACCTCAGCTGATCGGCCCGCCTCGGCCTCCCAAAGTGTTGGGAGTACAGGCGTGAGTCACCACACCCAGCCCCGCAAAGTCTTTAAAATCCGGCTCCCAGTGACGGTCCTCCCAGAGTCTTCTTCCCCTTGCCCACTGTCCTCCACACACATCAGCCCCCTGGCTGCTCCTCCAAATGGCACACATGCCCTCACTGCAGGGCCTTTGTGCTGCTGTCCCTTCTGCCTTCAAGTCTTGCCTCCCACATCACAGTGAGCCCTCCCAGCCCACTGTCTCTCCAACTGCAGCGACCTGGCCTCTCCTCACTCTCTGCCCTGCACTTGCGGCCACCTAATATAGTGACGACATTAGTGAATTTCTTCCTCCATTGGCCTAGGAGCCACACGAGGGCAGGCTGGTCTTGTTTTTGTTTTTGTTTTTTTCCTGCTGGATTTGCAGCCCATAGAACAATGCCTGACCCCCAGCAGGGGCTTGTAAATGTGCATTGAATAAATGACAACCGTGCTAGGCACCGTGCAGCCTTCAGCAGGCGTCCTGCCATTTAATCTGCAACCTAAGTCCAGCCCTGGGACTTAGGTTCCCTGTTTTAGAAATGAGGACGTGAGCTTAGAAGGGCTGCCTGCCCCGCCCAGGGCCTCAGAGGGGCGCCCCAGGGCTGGCGCCACAGCGCAGGCTCTAACCAGGACCACCCCACCATCCCCTCTTGCCCTGAGGCCGCTCAATCCACAGGAGACCTTCCTGCACTCCCACCCCTCACGCCGGGCTCTTCTGTCCATTTCTCTGCTCCTCATCCCCCTCCCTCAGACTCCCCCCTCCCACTCCACCCCCACCCCTGTCCACTTAAGGGGGCTCACAGCCTCCCTCTTCTTCCCACCAAAAGAGCCTGAGGTCAGTTTCCTGTCCTCATGGACCTGCCCTCACTTGCGTGGGTCCTCCTCGGGTCCTCCTTCACCCAGTCGGATTTGAACCTAGAGGGGGCTCGGGCTGGGACCGCTAACGACCCCCGCAGGTCGTGGGCGGGAGAGCAGAGCGTGCTGCCCCGCGCTTGGCCCCGCCCAGCCCTGAGCCGTGGGCGTGGCCACCGACTTCCGGCACAGGTTTTGCTGGGTCCTCCGCAGGCAAGGCACGTGATCTCAGGGCAACTTTTGCACGTGCAAGATGAGCGACTTTCTCTTGGCCATCAGGTCCCTGGGAACACTTCCTCCACCCTCTGCCCTGAATCCTGTGGCAGCATCATTGGGGTCTGGGCTTCCTCCACCAGGCGTGCCTCCTCCTGGCTCCTTCCCACACCTAAGGCTGCCTCCTGGAGCCCCCGCCCCACACCTGGGATACCCCTAGCCATGCCCCCACCACCTGTGCCTCCTGAGGCTGCAGGACATGCCCCCAGCTCCCATTGGCAGGAACCCCAGGGGCAGGACATCCAGGTCATGGACACTCGCATCCTCACCCATTCCCAATAGGTGCGATGCCCCGTCCAGGGATCTCAGATACGGCTGGCACACCATGGCCCTCATGGCTGAGGAGACCCCCGTGATGGGCCCCCAGGATCTGGGGGGCAGCCCCCACCCTGATCACGACCTGGAATGCCTCATCCTGGACGTCCTTCAATGAGCATGTGCCCCAGGGGGCCTCAGTCTGGATCTCCCATGGGTCACCCAGGTACTATGCCTCCATAGTATGCGTGGACCTCCTCCACTGATGCCGCCTCATGGATACACTGGCTCTCCCCAACCCCTACCCTGTGGCTTCCAGTGGAGGCCTCTCCCTCCACCCAGGCCCACTCCCTAGCCTCCAGTTCCCCCTCAACGCCCACTTCGGGGCCCTCTCCCTCAGTAAATTCACATTCTTCTTCCTCCTGTTATATCTTCCCAATATCTTTTTGATTCCTTGGACCAGAGATGCTGCAGCTCCTTGCAACTAAGGCACTAACCCTTTTCAGCCTTCCCATCTTCATTTTTAATGTCATTTTTTCCCCATAGAAGGTATTTCTTTCTCATGTTGGTCTAAGTATTTTGCCGGAAGGATGGCGCTGAGGAAGTTTGTTGTGGTGGTGTTTGGTGGTGGGTGTTGGAAGGAGATAGAACGACTGCATAACAAGATGTTCCAGTGGTGTGGTACAAGAGGAGAGAGGAAGCAGAGAAGGAGGTGAAGAAGGGAAGGAGAAGGAAAAGAAAGGGTGGGGAGATGAGAGAGAAGAAAAGTAAGAAGAGAAAGAGAAGAGAAAGAAGAGGAAGAAGAGAGGGAAGAGAAGAGAAGGAAGGCCAGGGCACGAGTGGGCTGCGACACCTGTAATCCGGCGAGGCACTGTTGGTGGGAGGCACGCGAACCCGTGGGGATCGGTGATTCCGACGAAGGTTCAGAAGCTTCGGGAAGAGCCAGGCGGCGTGCCAGGACATGTGAACCCCGTCTCTACGAAAAATCCGAAAGAAATTAGGCTGGGCGTGGGCTGGGGGTGGTGGGGCAGCGCTGGTAAGTCCAGCTACTTCGGGGACGGCTGAGGGCAGGAGAACTCACTTGAACCCAGGAGGCAGAGGGTGCCAAGGAAGGCCGAGGATCCTGCAGTTGCCACTCCAGCGCTGCAGCAACAGACCAAGACTCCAGTTCTCTAAAAAAAAAAAGAGAAAGAAAAAAAAAAAAAAAAGAAGAAAGAAAAGAAAAGAAAGAAAAAAGAAAAGAAAAGGGCTGGATGCGGTGGCTCTGATGCTGCCTAGTAATCCCAGCACTTTGCGGAGGCCGAAGGTGAGATGGATCACTTGAGATTCAGAGTCGTAGGACCCGCGGCCACGATGGGCAAAGCCCTCCGGTCGTATTCGAGCTAAGAAGTATGACAAAATTAGCTGGGCGTGGTGTGGGGCGTGTGCCTGGGCCTGTAGTCCACTACTGGGGGAGGCTGAGGTAGGAGAATCTCCTTTGAACCGGCAGGGGCAGAGGTTTGCAGGTGAGCCAAGATTGACGCGCACGTGCAACTCCAGCCTGGGTGACAAGAGCAAACTGCGACTTTCTCAGAAAAAAGGGTCGGGGGCTGGTAACACTTACCTCCCCTACCTCTCTGGCTTGATGTGAGGGTCAGATGTTTAACAAATAAATGCCAAAGGACTTTTTAAACGCTAAAGCAACTCTTGAAGAGGAAGAGGTGATTACTGCTCCCTTCATAGGTCTGTGTGTCTAATCTTTCCTCCTAAACCTGGTGGATGGAAGCTTTTGTTCTTTAGGTTTATTTGTTTGTTTGTTTGTTTGTTTTTTGAAAAGAAGTTTCACTCTTGCCACCCAGGCTGGAGTGCAGTGGTACAACCGTGGTTCACTGGAACCTCCGCCTCCTGGATTCAAGAGCGTTTCCTGCCTCAGCCTCTGGAGTAGCTGGGATTACAGCGTGTGCCACCACATCTAGCTAATTTTTTTGTATTTTTAGTAGAGACAGGTTTCACTATGTTGGCCAGGCTGGTCTTGAACTCCTGACCCCAGGTGATCCACCCACCTCAGCCTCCCAGAGTGCTGGGATGACAGGCGTGAGCCACCACACTCAGCTTGTTCTTTAGGTTTTGACTGTCTTTTATCTCTAGTAATACCTTTTGCCTTAAAGTCAAATTAACTCCACCAGTTCCACTTTGGTCCCTACTTGCCTGGTATAACTTTTTCATCCTTCTACCTTCAGCCTTCCCACGTCCATAATCTTAGGTTTGTTATTTGTAAGGATAATATAGCTGGTATTTAAAAAAATCTGATCTGGCCAGGCGCGGTGGCTCAAGCCTGTAATCCCAGCACTTTGGGAGGCCGAGGCAGGCGGATCACGAGGTCAGGAGATCGAGACCATCCTGGCTAACCCAGTGAAACCCCGTCTCTACTAAAAAATACAAAAAAAAAAAAAAAACTAGCCGGGCGAGGTGGCGGGCGCCTGCAGTCCCAGCTGCTCGGGAGGCTGAGGCAGGAGAATGGCGTGAACCCGGGAAGCGGAGCTTGCAGTGAGCTGAGATCTGGCCACTGCACTGCAGCCTGGGCGACAGAGCGAGACTCCGTCTCAAAAAAAAAAAAAAAATCTGATCTGACAATCCTGTCACTTACAAATGTATGATTTTGACATATTTATTTTAACCATCTTATTTTTGTGCTTGCTAGTAGCCAAATGTTTCATCTTTCTCCTTTCTTGCAGTTTTAAGAATTGATCAAGGTTTTCTTTTTCTTCAGGTCCTCCCCGGCTCTTCACTGGCTTGGAAACTACACATTTCATATCTTTTCTTTCTGTGGTTATCCTATACACACACACACACACACACACACACACACATTTAGAGACAGAGTCTTGCTCTATCCCCCAGGCTGGAGTGCAGTGGTGCAATCTTGTCTCACTGCAACTTCCACCTCCTGGGTTCAAGCAATTTTCATGCCTCAATCTCCCTAGTAGCTGGGATTACAGGTGCCTGCCACCATGCCTGGCTAATTTTTACACTTTTAGTAGAAATCGGGCTTACCAAGTTGCTCAGGCTGGTCTGGAACTCCTGACCTCAGGTGATCTGCCCACCTCAGTCTCCCAAAGTGCTGGGATTACAGGCATGAGCCACCGCGCCCGGCTTCAAGATATTTTAAAATGTATATTTAACAACATCTAAAGTTGCCAGTATTTAATCTCCTTCTAGGTCAAAATAAAGGGCTTCAGCACACTCTGTTTCTGGTCAGATCGTCCTGAATTACACATTATTGTCTGGGAGACTAAACCATGTTTACTATTTCCTTTGTGCAGCTCAGATCTTCCTTCTGAAAAAAATTCCATGTGCCATCAAAAGATTCTTCAGATGTTTCTATATCAAAGATCTATGGGTG